GTGGACCCTAAGTTTCTGGCTTCAAGTCTAGTTTGTTTTCCATTTAATCCACAAAAGGTACGCTATGATAGGGTCTCTGTGACCTTGATTCATTTTGCCTGGGTATGACTATGTATGTGGTTCTTGGGTAATGTAGTGCACTGTTTAAAGGAAGGAACAAATTCACCCCATTGGGTGTCTTCTCTGATACATGTTGAGCACACTTATCTAGAAAGAGCAAATATCTTGAAAGTTCGTGTTGGATTTGAATAATTGGCCTTTATCTATATAAAAGGCCTTTCCTCACCTTGAATTGTGGAAAGAGGTGTGTTTCTGAGAAGAATTTTTCCTAGTAGAGTTTTTATAAATTGAATCTTGTTCAGCTTGGTTTGGGGAGTGGGATCAATATTTAAAATACGTGCAATAAAGGGAGAACATTTGGCTGGGGATATGGCTCATGGGTAGAGTGCTTGCCTAGCACACATGAAGTCCTGGGTTTGATACCCAGCTCTGGGGGGAAAAAAAAGGTGGGGGAGAACATTTTCATAAAACAAATAATTATCCAGGGCATTTATTTATTTATTTGGTAATGGGAATTGAACCCAGGGGAGCTCTGCCACTGAGCTATATCCCCAGGCCTTTTTATTTTTTTGTTTTGAGACAGGGTCTCACTACATTGCCCAGGGCTGGCCTCAAATTTGCAATACTCCTGCCTCAGCCTCCTGAGTTGCTGGGATTACAGGCAGGTGCCACCATGCTCAGTTCCAGGGCTTAGTCTGATGATCTAATTTTAATTATAGTATTTAAATAGAATCAATATTTTTATTGCTGTGTTGACATTGTTACATCAAGCTGGGTTGTGCCTGAAGAAGCTTATGATCCAAGATTTCTGGAAAGTTCTGATTTTGCAGCCAGGCTGTGCACTGAGAACTTCACACATTTTCCCCTATTGTCTCATTGGTCAAATCTATCAGAATAAAAACTTCCAGACTTCAAACTTGACTTGGTCATCTGAATATTGAAAAGAACAGAAGCAAAAACCATACCCCTTTTCCACAAGTTCTTTTCCAACATGACCTACCCTAATATTTCCTATGTACTTTATTCTGCCATGATACAGGCTCATGTCCTCCTAACCTGCGGTTTCCTTCCTCTATCCCAGGGGGACAATACATTCTTGTGATATCTCCTGAGTGTCACCTATTGAGTCAGCCTGGGAATTGGAAGGTAGGCAAGGTTTTTGAGACCAGAGAGGGGAGAACATCCAAGAATAATAAATCAGCAGTGTTCCTACCAAGTCAAAGTGCTATTTGCATCTGTTGTCACTACTTAGTGCAGGATGGTTTAGACTGCATTACCAAGAATGTAGGGGGAGAAGCTGGGCATGTTGCCACATGCCTGTAATTCCAGCTACTCAGGAGACTGAGGCAGGAGGATTGCAAATTTGAGGTCAGCCCTGGGCACCTTAGTGAGACCCTGTCTCAAAATACAAAATAAATAAATAAAAGGACTGGGGTTATTGCTTGTCAGTAAAGCACCCCTGGATTCAATTCCCAGTACAGAAAAAAAAATGTGGTAAGAGGTCAGAGAAGGGCCTAGAGTATCACAAGCATGAGGTGCAGAGGGCCCTGAGGATTCCTCTAAGGAGGTGCTAAGGGGATATCCTTAGATGGGGTAGACCCTAAACGGGAGGCAAGATGGGGTTTCCCATTCTTGGGGGTTTATGTTCACCCAGTGGGGAGTCCCCTTCCCTTTCTCTCCCCCCTTTTAGGTCCCTTGAAAGCCCACTGACACTGCGTGTCAACTGCATTTGGTTTTACAGAGGTTGCTGCCCTTTGAACACAGTCTCCAACTCTTGATCATCAATGAGCAAACAGTGCTAGTAGGGCAGCTGAGTCACAGGCACATGATGGAGGGGACCACATGGTCATGAGTTCATCTCCCAGACCCCTGAACCTTTCCTGTTATACTTGGGGGCTTCTTTCTAGTGGCTTTCTCCACTTCTTCCTGGACTTTAAGAACTTGTATTTCTGTGTTGGAAGAAGGGTGTTTCCCTGTCTTCATATACATATCAGAAGGATGTTTTATGTCTTTTACATGGGTGTCTAATGTGTCCCTGGGTGTGGTGGTGATATGAGCTCGGAAATGGAAAATACTCAAGCTTCAGAGTAGCAGGTGAATACCACATGCCCATTTGCATGTTCCCTTTCACTCTGACTCATCTTCCCCTCTCCCCACCCTGGTGCCCCTCCACCAGCCTCACCCACTGACACACCCTGTCTGATCTAGGAAGAATTAATACCTGCCTGTACCCAAGCTAGAATGAGATGGAAGGTATTTTAGATATTGAGGAAGAGAGAATAGGAGGGTACTCTGAACATTTTAGGATCCTGGAGCCAAAGGGAAAAAGGGGACCTTAGAGACAGTATTTGGGTGGAGGGGACCAGGATCTAAAGGAGATGTTAGGGGGAATCAGACTATGTCTTGTCACTAGAGCAATCTACCAACGCCTGACTTGTTTATCTTCTACTTATTTATTGCATGTATATGATATGCCAGACACACACCATAAATATTTTACCAACATTTGTTGAATGAATGAAAAATTTGCTATGGGATCAGGGATAATGGAGTTGTAGGAAACAAACTAAAAAGAAATTTGAACCTCTCAGGCCTTTTTCTCTTCCCCACACTAAAAAGTGCTTAAGTATGAAAGGAGGGGAAATCTCCAGGGACCTTGACCTCTAGGGCAGGAAATGAAAGAGGGTTCTGATTTCAGAGAAATGTCATTTGTCATCAGCCCAAGAAAAGAAGATTTTCTCTTCGAAGACCACCACAGGCTGTTCCTGGGGTTATCCCTTTGCAGAGCTTTGTGGGAGGATCTGAGTCACACACACATCCAGTCCCCAGTGGTGGCCCAGATGACAGAGTTCATTCCCATAGAGCAAGTGAGGCTTCCCAATACTAAGCCAGGGAGAAGGAAGAGGCATGCTTTTGGCCCTCCTTCCTTCTCTCCTTGAAATCCAGATGTTTCCATCCCTTTTTTATTTCTGAGATAGAAGAGTTTTCAGCTACTAAGCCACCTCCAAGAAAGGGAACTAATATCATCTGCATGTGCTATTACCTATAAACCACTTTCATATTCAAGCCATTTCATCTTCAAATGAGGCAAGCAGAGATTATCCTTATTTCACAGATGAGGTAACTGAGGCTCAAAGAGGTGACTTGCCCAAGTTGACTCAACTAGTAAAGGGCAGAGATGATACTTAAATGCAAATCAGATTATTCCAAAGTCCTCATTGCCAGAGATTCACTTCTGTGACTCTTAAAAGAGTTCAGAAATGAAGAGACAGGAGGTTAAGAGGCTGGGTTCTGGAAGTACAAGGGCCATCTCTCCCCTGCAGGGTAAAGCAGAGGCATAAAGCCACACCCTCTTGGGGGACTATGGCAGACTGATACTTGGGGCATCCAATGGAGGACTGAAGTCAGGGGCGGGGCTAACTCGGGGGTGGGGGGGCAGCATCCCCAACAGCATTTCAGAGCATGTGGTGTCAGGAGGCAGCTACAACCGGTGAGTGGATACCTTTCCCCAGCTGAGGCTTTCCTCCCATTACACCCCTCTTCCTGTCTACTTCTTACCAACATGTAACTTCCCTGAGGCATCCAAGTCATAACTCTCTCTTCTACAAGGGTCCTTATGGAGAACCTGCACCCAGAACTGGTGTATTGGCTGGCCTCTAAGCTGTGTTTCTGTTTGTATCTGAGTTCTCAGTTCTCTTCTTAAAAGTCAATATGATGGAGCCAGGAGCCTCATCGCATGCCTGTAATCCCAGCTACTTGGGAGGATGAGTCAGGAGATCACAAATTCAAAGCCAGCTTGGGCAACTCAGTGAGATTCTGTCTCAAAATTTAAGAATAAAAGTGGGGGAGATGTAGCTCAGTTGATAGTGCACCCCTGGATTCAATCCTTAGTATGGCAAAAAAGAGAAAAGAGCCCATGTGGTGGTTTTGATGTGACTTGTACAGTTCTTTCTATTCTTCACTTTTTGGCTTATGAGAAACAAAATGAAACCATCTCCTTACCCTCATGTTGGGAGAGAATAGCCTCCTCTCTCTATAGTTTCCATTCCCTTTCTCTCACTTTCTCAGGCACCAAAGTCTTCTCCAAAACCCTACTCTATCACTGGGTCAGGAGCCTTCTCTCTATGGCTCTTGAATCTGCATTCTTAACCCACTGGATGGGAGTCTTTAGTCTCTTCCAGTTCCTCCTCCAAAGATGTATTCTAAAAGCTTCAGCCTCAGGGAGATGATTGAGGGATGTCTTTGACCCTCCTGCAGCCATGACCACTGTCTTGCTGCCCTCTCTGTCTTTCAGGTATGTCTGGGGAGGACCTACTAGCTTTCTAAGCTCTCCTGTGAAATTGTGTCTTTGCCAGGGTTGACTGTTCTTTGATGATCCCTTTGTCTAGAATGAGGAAAGCTCAGCAGCTTGGAGGTCTTCCTCTGCAGAAGTACCCATGATGACTATTCTTAAGCCAGAGATTGCTTCCTATACTAGTCTTAAACCCACAACTGTTAATTCTCTGGCTCTCTCTCTTTTTTAATATTTATTTTTTGCTTGTAGTTGGACACAATACCTTTATTATCTTTTTTTATGTGGTACTGAGGATCGAATCCAGGGCCCTACACACACTAAGCGAGCACTCTACCACTGAGCCACAATCCCAGCCCTGGTTCTTACTGTTTAAAACTTGAATTTGATCTAATTTCCATTCTCTTACCACCACATTTTCACCACTGGCTCCTGTTATGACTTTGGATAAGTTTAGGTCCTCTCTTGGGTTAGCTTATTTGGTCTATTCAGAAGAGAGAACTCTGATCAAAGACCAAAAACTCATTCTTTCTCCCCTCCCCTCCACAGGCTTGAGAATATGCCGTATCTCCCTCCCCTATCTGCCAAGGACCCCACATTGTGGTCTTTCTCTAAGAATCCCTAAGATTGGTATCCAAGGCAAGGCAAAATGCCCCTCCCCTCAACAAGACTGTTCAGCCCATATGGCTCTGATCGGTTGGTCCAGCTAGCAGCCAGGCTCCGGCCAGCACTATGTGATACCATGATCACCGTAGGAGACCAGGAGTTTCCTGCACACAGCCTGGTACTAGCAGGTGTGAGCCAGCAGCTGGGCTGCAAGGGCCAGTGGGCTCTGGTAGAAGGCATCAGCCCTTCCACCTTTGCCCACCTTTTGAGCTTTGTTTATGGGGAGAATGTAGAGCTGCAGCCTGGGGAGCTGAGGCCTCTTGAGGAAGCAGCCAGGGCTTTGGGGGTGCAGGCCCTGGAAGAGGCATGCAGAAGGGCTCGAAGGGACAAGGTTGAAGAACTGGATGAAGGGCTGAAGAAACATCAGGAGGAGCCAGAGAAACCCACAAGGGATTCAGAAAGAGGACTGTGGGGGCTTGGAGAGATGCAAAAACCAAAGAAATTTTTTAGAATTGGTGGGAGGGAACAGGAGACATTGCACGGGCACAAACCACCAATAGAGTACTCTGAGATGACAAGAGCAATACCAGAAGGTCAGGGGGAGATGAGATCAAAGAAACTCAGCCAAATCCCTGTTGACTACCAGGGAGCAGATAGACAGCAAGGAGTGGTCGTGAGGGTGACAGAGAGAACAGGGGGCTCTGAGGAAAGTCTTCAGGGGTTCCCTAGTCCCCTTCCCCCAGCAGGTTCCCTCCAAACCAGCATCATCCCCAAGCCTTGGTGGGCCCAGGCCCCTTGGTTGCGGGAGGGCCAGCCTGCCCTGTGGAGCATCTTGCTGTGGCCGCCCAGATATGGCACTCCCTTCTCCCATAGCACACCCAGCACTGGAACCTGGCAGGAGGTCTGGCCTTGGAACCAGAGGTGAGTGAAGGGCCTAGTGGAAGACTCTAAAATGGGAGGGAGTGGTGCAAGAAGGGTAGCAGTGATGGATGAGGGGTACCACACCTCTTATCTCTACATTTCCTAAGCTGGTGTTGGGCCAAGAAATTCCCACCACAGGGGCAACCAGGGCCAAGCCGTGAGGGTTTGGGAAGGGGCCAGTGTTGACCAGGCTCCCAGGTCTTTCTATGGCTATAATTCTTCCCTGCCCTGTCCCCCAGGATCCCTCTGACCCTGAACAGCCCTAAAGGGTTCTGGAGTCAGAATCAGTTGGCTTCCTCCAGCCCTACCCCAGGTAAGCCCCTCACTGTCCTGCACACAGGGTCTCTTCCCCCGGGGCTGGGTCCCAGGCCTGACCTGAGCAGGGACCCCCACCTCACTCTGCTCCCTTTAGGTTCCCTCCCCCAGGGCCCTGTGCAGGTCAGCCCTGGGGAGATGGAAGACTCTGGGCAGGAGCGCAGAGGTGAGTAGGGTGAGGGCATTTTTGCTTCAGCCCCACTGGACCTACTGATTTCTTGCCCAGGTGCTAAGACTGTGGGATTCCTGGCCCTGCCCCGCTTTGATTTCTCTGTCCACACAGGCTCCCGGACAACCTGTGTGGGTCATGAGGGCACAGCAGGCTGCCCATCTCGCCAACACCCTCCCCCGCCTCCTGCTCGGTCTCGGCCCTATTCTTGCTCTGTCTGTGGAAAGAGGTTTGCACTCAAGCATCAGATGGAGACGCACTACCGAGTCCACACAGGTATGGGCGCCCAGCCCAGTGTGAAGCTGTCGGCATCCTTCCCTACCGGCGGTCTACCCACTCCTGGGTCCCTCTCTCCGGCTCCGGCGCAATTCCCTAGTCTCGTCGCCCAGTGTACCCCAGGCTTGGTCAGCCTTCGTCCCCTGTTCCTTCCTTAAATGGCCTCCCCCTCCCTCTGCCCTAGGAGAGAAACCCTTCTCCTGTAGCCTCTGTCCTCAGCGCTCCCGGGACTTCTCTGCCATGACCAAGCACCTGCGGACACACGGGGCTGCTCCCTACCGCTGCCCTCTGTGCGGGGCCGGCTGCCCTAGCCTGGCCTCCATGCAGGCGCACATGCGCGGCCACTCGCCCAGCCAGCTCCCGCCCGGATGGACCATACGCTCCACCTTCCTCTACTCTTCCTCCTCCTCGAGGCCGTCCCAGGCCTCCACCTCTCCTGGTAGTGCCCCCTCCACCACCACCTGACGGTGTGTTGGTAGGTCCTTTGGCCCCAGACGAATCCAATTAGATTTAGCAAATCTGACTTCAGAAGCGCCGCAGGACAGGCGCCGAGAGCCCTCTCCCGGATGACTGCGGGTTACAGAAGCCTGGGTCAGCGAGCTCCTGTGGGCTGAAATTCGCACGAGTGAGGACTAACTGTATGGGAACTGTTGATTTTATCACCATAATAAAGAGTTTCCTGTGCTCTCTGGTCTGGACAGGAAAGCCGAGCGCAGGCTTTAGTCCGTGTTTCGGCCCCCCGCCCCGCCCTCCCCAGCTTAGCCACTTGTCTTGTAGCGCCCCCTGGTGGCTGTGCTAACCAGCGGGACCGACACTTTCTCCATCTCTCCGGGTTCCTGGGCCTCCCACAGAGGCCATTGGCCATGAGGGCTCGGCATCTCGGCAAACTTCACGTCAGGTCTTGCAGGGATCGGGGTGAACTGTGAGATCGGAGGCACTGGCTCCATCCACAGCAATGCACGGTGCGCTGACTGATCTGGGCGCGCCCGGCCCAGAACTGGAAAGAAGCGCATGCTCCGGCTCTGCTTTCGGTTACTCGTCTCCTCTCCCTGAGCGCACAACCATCGTGCCTCAACACCCGACGGAACGGCTCCCGAGTCGCTCCTGGACCTGAAACTAATCCTCTGCTGCCGCCCCTTCCCCAGCCCACGCCTCCCGTACTGGCTAACTTCATTTGCCAGCGTCTGCCGGGTTCCCAGGGTCTGAAGCCCGCGGCACCCTGGGAGTGGTAGTCCATTCCGACCGCTGGCTCCGACAAGAACAATGGGAGGAGTCTGGGGCGCGGACCACACCTCCCGGAGACGGGGAACTGGCTTTCCGGGTCCCAGTCGGGAACCCCGTATTCTCAGCTCTCGCGTCCGAGCCGCCGGCGGAAGGAGCAAGGCGTCTGGACTACATTTCCCGGAGGCCCCTGCGCCTCGCCCCTCTACGGCCCGGACGCAGGGTCTGTGCTCTCTTCAGGTGCGGTCTGAGGGTGACGGCCGCCCGGCCCCGGACTCCCGCTCCCGTGGTGCCCTGCGCGTGGCCGGCCCAGCCCCCGGCTCCCGCCAGCCCCGCGGCGGCGCTGGTTGTTGTCGTGAGCCGCAGCCGCCCCGCTTCGCCCCTCCTCCGCTCCCCTCCCCCCGACCCTGCGCACGGGCCGCCCCTCCCCCCGCCTCCCCGGCCCCTCTCACGGTGCCAAGATGGCGGCGGCGGCGGGCGGCGGCAGTTGCCCGGGGCCTGGCTCCGCGCGGGGCCGCTTCCCGGGCCGGCCGCGGGGCTCCGGCGGGGGCGGGGGCCGCGGCGGACGGGGCAGCGGGGCCGAAAGAGTGCGGGTAGCTCTGCGGCGCGGCGGCGGCGCGGCGGGGCCGGGCGGAGCCGAGCTTGGGGAAGATACGGCCCTGCTCCGTTTGCTGGGGTTCCGCCGGGGCCTGCGCCGGCTCCGCCGCCTGTGGGCCGGCCCGCGCGTTCAGCGGGGCCGGGGCCGGGGCCGGGGCCGAGGCTGGGGCCCGGGGCCGGGCCGAGGCTGCGTGCCAGAGGAGGAGAGCAGTGACGGGGATTCCGACGATGAGGTGAGGTAGTCGGAGGCGTCCCCCGCGCCGGGTGGGGCGGAGGCCGGGGGCTTACAGGGACCTGGGTGCCCCCTTGGGGTGGCGTGGGCAAGTGGGATCCTCAGGGCTTCTGTGGAGGAAAGGCTTCTGGGAACAAGCATGGAAGGAGATAGTCTGCAGAGAGCTTTGGGTGGATAGGGCCTCTGAAAGTGCATAGAGAAGCCCTGTCTGCAGCTAGCCTCTTGGGCCCCAGACAGGTCTTGCCGAAGCGTCTTGGGCTGATCCTTCTTGGTAGCAAGACTAGGGGAATAGAAGTGTGGGCGAGAAGGCCATGAGGACTGCACGCCCAATCAGTGGTGGTTGACAGCAGCGACGGCAGCAAACAGCAGCAGCATGGCTTTAGTGGACTAGAGACTAGAGCAGTCTGGGCTCTTAGCTGTAGGCTTTCCCCCAGGACCTCAATCTCTGACACATCCCTAGTTTCACCAGTGCTCCAGTTCTTCTGCTGATCTTAAGGTAGAGTGGTGGAGGGCTTCTTGGGACACGGGTTGAAGAAGAATGAAAGGGAGGCTGAGACTGGGCACTCTGCCTGGTCTGAGTTCAGCTCCGGATTTATTCCCCTAACCTTTCAGAAAAAGCAAGAGTGTCGATTGTATTGCTGGGACCCCTATTAATCACCTGAGGGCTCAGTGGAGCCTGATATGATAAACCATTTGATGCTTGCTCCTTCCCCCCCTTGGGTGTCCCTACTCCCATCTTCAGGAAGAAACTGTGGCCTGAAAGGGTGTAAATGGAGATTCCAATTTGTTCTGAGTTGAAGTTGGCCATTAGTGTAGGGCTTACTTGCCCAACCTGAGGAGACACTGTTGTGTTTTCTTCTGGGCCAGGAACCCCTGGTGGGTGTGCTTGTCTGGCCTGGCACTGGGGAGGGGAGTTTAGAAACACCTTGTGCCTCCATTTGTAGGGAAAGACCTTCCTGTCCATTTATTTTATAAATAGGCAGAGGTACATTAAGGGGTAAGCTGGGGATGTTTCTCCATACCTTGAGTCCCAGGTGGAACCAGGGCTTTGGCACTGACTGCTGTTTCTCCCCTCCACCCCGGTCCCCTAAATCAGGAGTTTCAGGGTTTTCATTCAGATGAAGATGTGGCCCCCAGTTCCCTGCGCTCTGCGCTCCGATCCCAGCGAGGTGAGTGATGGGGGAAACTCTACCTCTGTAGCTTTACAAAAATGTTATTCTTGCCCTTTGTGTCAGTTCTTCCCTGTTCTGCTAGTCTCCGTCAGTTACTGAGTATGTCCTGTGTTCAGAGTCCAAGATAGACTGGGCTATGGGGGAAACTGATAAGTAGGACTTAGTTTCTGCCCTTCTGGAGCACCTTCCTCAGTCTGCAGGGCCAGTTTGACCCATCTCCCCACACCTATTCTCCTTTTAGGTCGAGCCCCCCGAGGTCGGGGCCGCAAACATAAGACGACCCTTCTTCCTCCTCCTCGCCTATCAGATGTGACACCTACCCCCCCAAAGACCCCTGCCCGGAAACGGGGTGAGGAGGGCACAGAACGGATGGTGCAGGCACTGACTGAACTTCTCCGGCGGGCCCAGGCACCCCCAGCCCCCCGAAGCCGGGCATGTGAGCCCTCCACCCCGCGTCGGTCTCGGGGACGGCCCCCAGGAAGGCCAGCAGGCCCCTGCCGGAAGAAGCAGCAAGCAGTAGTGGTAGCAGAAGCGGCTGTGACAATCCCTAAACCTGAACCCCCACCTCCTGTGGTTCCAGTAAAACACCGAACTGGCAGTTGGAAGTGCAAGGAGGGGCCTGGCCCAGGACCTGGGACCCCCAAACGTGGAGGACAGTCTGGGAGAGGAGGCCGTGGAGGCAGGGGCAGAGGCCGAGGTGGGCTCCCCCTCGTGATCAAGTTTGTTTCAAAGGCCAAAAAAGTGAAGATGGGACAGTTGTCCTTGGGACTTGAATCAGGTCAGGGTCAAGGTCGACATGGGGAAAGTTGGCAGGATGCTCCCCAAAGAAGAGTTGAATCTGGACAAGGAGGGGGCCCTTGTTGCAAAAAGCAGGAGCAGAAGCTAGAGGAGGAAGGAGAGGAGAAGAAAGAAGAAGAAAAGGATGAGGAGGAAGAGGAGAAGGAAGAGAGAGCTGAGGCTGAGGAAGAGGTGATGCTAGCCGAGGAAAAGGAGGAGGCAAAACCACCATCACCACCTTTAACTCCTCCAGCCCCTCCACCCCCTCCTCCTCTCCCACCCCCGTCAACATCTCCTCCCCCTCAACCTTGCCCTCCACCACCCACAGTCCCAGTGTCTCCCCCTCCACCACCATCCCCTCCACCACCTCTGGTCCCAGAGGAGCGAGAAGAGTCCCCACCTCCTGCAGTCCCAGCTACATGCTCCAGGAAGAGGGGCCGGCCTCCCCTGACTCCCAGCCAACGAGCAGAGCGGGAAGCTGCTCGGGCAGGGCCAGAGGGTACTTCTCCTCCCACTCCAAACCCCACTACCACCATGGGAGGCCCTTCAGAAGACAGTCCCACCGTGGCCCCCAAAAGTACCACCTTCCTGAAGAATATCCGGCAGTTTATTATGCCTGTGGTGAGTGCCCGCTCCTCCCGTGTCATCAAGACACCCCGACGATTTATGGATGAAGACCCTCCCAAGCCCCCAAAGGTGGAGGTTTCACCTATTTTACGACCTCCCATCGCCACCTCCCCACCTGCTCCCCAGGAACCAGCACCAGCTCCCTCTCCACCACGTGCTCCAACTCCCCCATCTACCCCAGTCCCACTCCCTGAGAAGAGGCGGTCCATCTTAAGGGAACCCACATTTCGCTGGACCTCACTAACCCGGGAGCCGCCCCCTCCTCCCCCCGCCCCTCCACCAGCCCCATCTCCACCACCTGCCCCTGCCACACCCTCCCGGAGGCCCCTACTTCTTCGGGCCCCTCAGTTTACCCCCAGCGAAGCCCACCTGAAGATCTATGAATCGGTGCTTACTACTCCTCTTGGGGCTCCTGAAGCCCCTGAGCCAGAGCCGCCTCCTGCCGATGATTCTCCAGCTGAGCCTGAGCCACGGGCAGTGGGCCGAACCAACCACCTCAGCCTGCCTCTATTTGCCCCTGTGGTCACCACTCCTGTTAAGGCCGAGGTGCCCCCCCATGGGGCTCCACCTCTAAGCAATGGGCAGCAGCCTCAGCCTCAGGCTCAGCTACAGCAGCCCCTGCAGGCCTTGCAGACCCAGCTACTGCCCCAGGCACAACCACCCCAGCAGCCACAAGTGCAGCCGCAGCCATCACCACAGCACACACCACCACTGGAAAAGGCCCGGATGACCAGCCTGAGTTCTCTACCACTGTCTGGGGTGGAGGAGAAAATGTTCAGCCTTCTCAAGAGAGCCAAGGTACAGCTCTTCAAGATTGACCAACAGCAGCAGCAGAAGGT